CCAGAAAACTGATCTCCACCCAAAACCCCAGCTCTCCTCAGACAATCTCTAATCTTGTGGCCTTGTTGAACACACTCAAAGCAAACTCCAGTACGAAATGACTACGGATACTTCGTCTTATAGTGCCCAAGCTGCTAGCATCGGAAACATACAACTCCATTCATACCCGATCCTGATAGTATAAGAGTCAAAGGAGCAGGTCGCACTGGCTGCTACCCTCCAGACTGAGATAGACCACTTCTCTGTCTTTTACTAAACTAGCCTTCTGTCACCGAACCATTGCCCATTAAACATGTCGTTCACCCTCCTCTACAGGTGATGGTACATCCTCCCATCTCATAGGAGAAGATGTTAAACTCTCCCCAACATGTCTAACACTAAGCTTCTCTCCTAGGCTTTCCAATACCTGACCCTTCCAACGAGGCGGCATACTTAACTGAAATTCAAGTCAATAAGAATGACACTACCCACAGCCTCGAACTGACTCATATAGATAAAAGCCTTTAAACATATAGCATGCTTTATCATAATCAGATTAACACGTAATCACATATACACACAAGTATGCTTGTAAAGCAAATAACAGATAAACATGTAAACATGTGAGACAATGCAAACCCTTACAAACACAGTTGTAGATAGACCTCTACTTGTCGTCCCAAGGTTATAGGAACCATGCTCTGATACCATAACTGTCACGCCCCTATACCGTAGTCTGGATTGTGAACACAACATATAAACAATCACAGTTTCAAAATCAATAAATATCCCTGTAACCTATCTCCACTACACATCCACCTATCTGCTCCCTTTACAAAAACAAGACTGAAAATAATAGTTAAGATGCAAATAATACAACGTTAAAGTTTTAAAGTCTAAAGTAACAATTATTACATACCAGAAATATTCTAAAGAGATATCATACAAAACATAGACTATTATACGGAATATAACACAACAACACCAGCCCCGACTCTGTCTACAGTTGAGGAGGAACACCCTCCACACCATCCATGCTATGACCTGAAAAGATGTGAATAAAATAGGAATAAGCAACCACAGCTCAGTAGGAATTACTTAAAACGCACTCCTTAATACCTCCGTGAATCCAAACAAAGAACGGATAAAAGATAAAGGGATCATATAGGCTCAAGAAAGCAACATATCATATAAGATAATAAAATGAAGTGTCATGTAATGCCAATGCCAATGCTAATGTCACTGACACTTCTCACTTCCCAAAATCTCATTTCCATCACAAAAAGTTAATTTAATCCGCCCAGGGCTACTCCCCAGTTTCACGAGAAGAGAGTTGGTCATCTATCCCTGATACAAGGCCACCCCTTGTGATCATTTGGGGCTCTAGTGACGCAACTATGCATAGAGCCACTCCTTAAATCTCCTCTAGATTCCCATTAACTTCACAGACAAGGCAACTCCTTGTCAGGTTTTGAAATCATTGATTCAATTCCCTTTTTCAAACTCACGGATACAAGGCACCTCCCTGTTATCTAGTTTTCAAAACCATTTAATGAAACATTTGCACTTTCCTTTTTATTCCAACATCATCCCCATACTCATGTGAGATGTATGTACATTTGTATAACATGATGTATTAGTAATAAAATAAATATTGAAATCTCAACTCATACACAATATCATGGTATTGCATTTTAATCCACACACAAACATGGTAAATTAATAGGCTAATTAATCCATGGTTGTATACATAAGAAACATGTTTTCTATCTCACATTTACCACATAACAACATAAACAGTGCTTAATAACATTTAGAAAATCAAGTACAAAACTTCCCATTTCAAGAAATATCATAACAACCTATATTCTAATTTTTAAGTAGCAGCCTATATTTACAAGGTCATAACTTTTTCCACAGTTAGAATCTAAGGCTGAAATTGGCATCATTGGAAAGCTTGTTTTGAGCTAGTTAATTTAGACTCAAAAATTACTCAATTTGGATTTAAAATAAGGAAGTTATAGTCAGTTGGAGTTCAGGTCGCTGTGTAGGAAATTCTGCAGATTAAGGCGCAAACCTGGCAGCCTATGTGTACAGGGTCATAAATTTTTCCACAGTTGGAATCTAAGGCTGAAATTGATATCATTGGAAAGCTTGTTTTGAGCTAGTCAATTTAGACTCAAAAATCGCTCAATTTAGATTTAAAATGAGGAAGTTATGGTCAGTTGAAGTTCAAGTCGCTGTGTAGGAAATTCTATAGATTAAGGCGCAATCATGAAGAACCCAGATTCGTTTTTCAGCACTGTTTAAAGCACAAAACACATAGAATTGATTCCTTAAAGGTAAAGGTTGTGAGAGTTAAGTAATCCTACCTCAAAGAAGCTTGGAAACCCTTGCAAGCACAATTTAAAACAACCCAAATGATGAATCAAAGCTACCCAAGTTGTACAAAATTGAAGAACACTTCCTTCTTTCCTTGCAACCAAAACCCACTTCTTTCAAAACTAATTTAATTCCCAGAAATGAAGAAATAATCACAACTTTGATACCAAAATGAAGCCCACGAAAGTAAGAAACTTTTTCATTCACGAGACCTCACGAAATTTCCAACACAAGAGCCTTGAAATTGCATGTAAATGAAATGACTTTAAAGAAGAAAACAAAGATACGAAAATGACTTCTGCAGATTGTTTTAGTTTTGTATAAAACATTTTAATCCTAATACAATAGTCACCATACACACACACAATGAAGCCAAGTGCCCCTCCACATGTCAAGCATAAACCAAGCCAAAGCATGCCCCCATGAAATGACTAAAAGACCCTTCACACATTTACCAATTTCCATCTATGCCATGCTTACAATAAAAGACTATAATACCCTCCATGAAATACTAAATGACAAATATGCTATTTGCATGATAAAGTCTACTTTGCCCTTTATAAAATTATCAAATACCATATATGTCATTTATAAAACAAAAAGTCCAGAATTGCTCTTTATGAAATAAACAATGATATTTAAATAAAATTAAACATATTCGCAAAAGAAATCATAATTTCCGACAATAAAATAAAAATGCATTAATGTTAAAATGACCAGAAAATGGTAAAAATGCAAGTGCTCATAGAAAGACTTTCGTTAAACACCTTTTGTGCCCTAGGTTCTCAACCAAAGGCTCTAATACTAGTTGTTAGAGCTGCACTGCACAATCAATCGAATTTGATTCTAGTTGTTGTGGCGGAAACGCAAAATAACAATGCATGTTATTCGAGGAATAATCAAGCAATCATAAAGAAAAAAAAAAATCACACACAAGAACACAAGATATACATGGTTAACCCAAATCTTAGGGCTACGTCCATGGAGCACACCGAATAAATTCACTATGAAAAAGATGAAGAATTACATGGAGAATTCTCTCTCAATCTCTCTCAATTGCTCTCTCTTATATTGGCACAAATTTTTCTCTAATTTTCACTCACTCTAAAATCTGATTAGAGTTGATATTTATAGAGTCCCAAACTTGTCCTACAAGAACTTGTCTTTTGTAGAATCCAAAACTAATAAGGAAGTTAAATCAGATCAGGAAACTGAATTTTCCTTAAACCAATAAAAAAGTTAAATCAGATCAGGAAACTGAATTTTCCTTAAACCAAAAAGGAAGTCAAATCAGATCAGGAAACTGAATTTTCCTTAAACTAATAAAGAAGTTAAACCAGATCAGGAAACTGAATTTTCTCTAAAATTTAGTACTCTTGAAGTTTCCATATAATTAAATCTTCCTAAAAAATGATTACCTAATCAGACTCTACAAAACCACAACAGTGAGACCATCACCAATCATGCCTCTGAGCCATTCCACTTCTTCTAGTAAATAATTGTACCTATAGTTACTTCTGAACTCAATGAGGTCTGTACGCAGCCTGAAAATCTCATCAATGAGGCTCTGTGTATCAGTTGGATCAATTCCCTCCATGATGTTGTTGTGGTCATCAATAAATTTGGGTGCTAGGGGCTCATGAGTTTTATCTACAAGTGATACTTTTTGGATTGAAAACCTTTGTGAGGTGGGGGATAGTTTGTCTTTGTATGTGTTTTTATTTGGTAATGGTGGTTTTTTGAGAATGGGATGGGGGTAATGTAGCATATATGGTGATAAAGGTTTGTTGAGGTTATGGTTCTAAGGTTTGGTGCATAAGTGATTGAATTTGTACGAAATGGTGGTTTGAGATGGTTGGGTTGAGGATTCTGGTAGAAATGGCATCTGGTTAGAGGTGCTCCCATGGTGCTCAAAATTCCATCCACACCAAATAAGTTGAAAAGTCATAATTCTAACGGTTTAGAATTAAGTTCTAATTAGATCACCAAATTAAAAAGTACAATTCAATTTATCAAGTACTAATAATCACATTGCAATCCTATTTTAAAAAACAAAATGCATAGGATCATAAAATAATTTTTATTATTTATATATAAAAATTTCCAACAAGTTCATAATATAATTTTTATTATTTATATATAAAAAATTTCAACAAGTTCAACCTAAGCACGTTTTTCTTATGTTTAAATAAAATCACTTTAACTTGCTTGTTATATATTAGGGACAGGTGGAGCTCACCAATAAATGCAGTACTACAAAGCTTAATATATATTAGGTTACCTAACCCACAAAGCTTATGGTGCTTGGATACATCATACCTAATCGATATCTTTTCCCTTTCTATAGTAGTAACTTTATCGTGAGACCTCATATGGTTTTTATAATATGTGTATCTTTTAAATTATAATATAATATTTTGATCTAGAAAAAATCAAATCAAATCAACACTAGAATTTAATAAGATTTAAACAAAGCATATAGATTACACTTTAAATTGCGTGTGGGTCCATCAATCGAGTCGGTAGAGCTGGTTTTTCATATTCTCCATTTACTTTCGACACTATTTAAGGAGGCTGCACATAATTAGACCAAACATCAACTTTCTTAATTGCGTTTGCTAGAGGCAGAAAAGGCTAAGATGGCGGTGAGTCATGTCGAGGTGATCTCCAGAGAGATGGTTAAACCGTCATCTCCAACACCCCATCACCTTAGGAACCTCAAGCTTTCATTCCTAGACCAAATTGCACCACCAATTTATATTCCCGTCATTTTCTTCTATCAAGCCAAGTCGGGATACGATATTGATCGTGCCCAAAAATCTCAATTACTGAAACAATCTTTGTCCGATACCCTAACTCGTTTTTACCCATTAGCCGGAAGGATAAAAAATGATGTTTGTATCGATTGCAATGATGCCGGAGTTGAGTATGTTGAAGCCCAAGCTCATGCTCAACTCTCACATGTTATCAAAAACCCTAATGTTGAAGAGGTAAAACAATATCTCCCAATTGGACCTTTTGGCGCCATTTCTGCTGCGGGAAGGGAAGCACTTCTAGCCATCCAAATAAACTCGTTTGATTGTGGAGGATTGGCGATCGCCTTGTGTATTTCACACAAAATAGCCGATGGATCGTCTCTAGTCACCTTCACCAATGCATGGGCTGCCACAGCTCGTGGGGCTATCAAAAATGTAACCCCTAGTTTCGATTTGGCATCTCATTTCCCGCCTAGGGACTTCTCAGAGTTTATGCCAACCACAGGCATCAGGACAGAAAAGATAGTGACTAGAAGGTTTGTGTTCGATAAAATGAAGTTGGCTGCACTAAAAAAAGCCGCTTCCTCAGCCATTGGATCACAGGTGAAGGATCCCACTCGTGTTGAGGCCGTCTCAGCTTTAATATGGAGCCATTTGATAGATGTGGAGAAAAGTAAGGTAGTTCCCCAGAAGACATTTGCTGCAACCCATGCAGTGAGCTTGAGAACCAGAATTAGTCCATCCCTCCCTGACCACGCCATGGGGAACATTTGGGGATATGCTCATACCTTATTAATGTCGAAAGATGAGATAAAATTTGCTGATGTTGTGAATGAGGTGAGGAGTGCGATAAGGAAATTCGATAGTGATTATGTCAAGGGCCTGCAAATTGGAGATGGGTACTTGGATTATCTCAAGAGGACAGCAGAAAATTTCTGTGAGAGAGAGGTAGAGTTCTGTAAATTTAGCAGTTGGTTGAGATTTCCTGTATATGAAGTAGACTATGGTTGGGGTAAGCCGGTTTGGGTGTGCCCCACAACCTTGCCTTTTAAGAATGTGATAATCTTGATGAGCACTAGTTGTGGGGAGGGAATAGAAGCATGGGTCAATATGCTTGAAGATGACATCACCAGGCTTGAATTTGATCATAAGCTACTTTCTCTTGATGTCGGTAAAACAAATGACTAAAACCTTGGTGGTGAATCATTTGGGTACATGGTTATATTTAGACGAATTAAAGTGTGTCTTTCTAGCCTTCATATATATATATATATATATATATATATATATATTATTGACTGATAAGTCTACACGGCTGGCTAGAAAGACACACACATATATAACCCGTATAGACTTATCAGTCAATAATGAGACGGTTTTTTCTCTTTTGGGTTTCTTCTCATACTATACCTTCTTGTGTTTAGCTTCGTAGGCAGTTTTTTAATATAATTTTTAATATATATATATATATATATATTTCAACGTGATCTGTATAAATATAAGTTAATTGTAAGAAAATCCTTGGCGCACTAAGCATTTACAAGACATTGGGCACTTCTTTAACCAAAAAAAAGACATTGGGCACTTAGCCCAAGCTCAAACTACAAGAATGACAAACCATTTTTTAAGATACACATAATTTTTTAGACTTTTCAGAATATGGATTTTTCAATAAAACATACATAATTTAAGTCCTTAACTTGCAAAAGTTTAAATGCACAGTATCCTCACTTACATACATGTACTACATGAAGTCTTCATCAAATTCTACAAACTCACCATTCAGCTCCGAAGATCGAGACCCAAATACACCAAAAACTATATCTCAATTGTCAAGTTTTTATAATGAAATTCTCCAACAAAAAATTAAATGTCTCACAAAAACAAAAAAAAACCTTACTCTTATCAAATATGTTAGCTTATTATTACCGACTCTTACTATTGCATTGATAAACATCACCAAATTAATTTGCACAAACCTTTAAAAAAAATGAGAGAAATTAAAATAATGCTCCACGGCTATATATATACTTCTAAGGGTAATTTACACCGACCTCCCCTATAATTTGTCATAATTACAGACAACACCCTTCTTGTTTTGGAAATTATGCGGATCTCCCCCACTTTTGAAAATATCCTACATGGACCTCCCTTATGTGTAACGGACCGTTAAATACACTAACAGAGTTGTCAAAATTACTGAAATACCCTCTCCTTAGTATCTAAAATTACTGAACTACCCATAAGTTTTCCTACCAAATAAGGGTTTATGTATCTTTATGTCAACTTATGCGTTCGATATTTTATTTGGTAATCTAATTAGTCTTTGATGTGGGTTTGATGTCTTAAATTGTAATATTGTTGTGTTATATTTAGATTTGGAAGAAATTTGGTTTACTAGCTTCTCTTTTTTTCTTTTTTCTTTTTCATTTTTTTTTTTTTTTTTTTTTTTTTTGGACACCTACTAGCTTTGACATATGGAAGAAATCTGAGTACAAAAAAAATTAATTTGAGATTGATTTATATATATATAAACACGCATATATATATACCAAATGAAGATGATAGATAACTCATTACCATGAAACGGACAGACTCACTAAGATTTTAAGTGGATTCCATGTATAATGAATTTCCCATAATCGATCTGGTAAGTATATATACATAGTAATTGATCGATCTGGTAAGTATATAATATATGTACATAGTGAATGAATTTCCCTTGATCTAGTAAGTTTATATTCAAAATCTGAGGGCACAATCGAATCTAAACTTCATTGAATTTGGCAATTCCATCAAAATTTCCCGGTGCCGAACCATATGGACTTCCTGTTTGGTTTGGAGATGCAGATCCAGGATTTGCAGAGGTTGCAAATTGAAGGTTAAGAGTAAGTGACGTATCAAAGAAAATTTGATGATCAAAGGGCCGGAAAAGCAAATGGTGAGTGGAGGTTTTCCAATGACTACGATTGGAACAGATCAATAACAGGGGTTATGGATTGGAATGGTATGGCCACCGACACCAACAACAGGTATCTAAAAATCCCATAAATTTTTAGATATATCAATTGGTAGGGATAGGGGTATTATGGGAATTTTAGTAAAATTTGTACATGACGTCAGCAATTTTCGTCGTTGACTGACGTTGACTTTAACAAAATGGAGGTCCGTGTAGGATATTTTCATTTTTAGGGGAGGTCCACTTAATTTCCGAAACAGGAAGAGTGCCGCCTGTAATTATGGCAAATCATAGGGGAGGTCTATGTAAATTAGCCTTTCTATAATCAGTTGATGTAGTCATTATAATCGAAGCTTTGTTGTTTAGATAAAGAAGCACAAGAATGATAAGTTGAATATTCTCTATTTCCACGACAAAAACGATGTGAAGAGAATTCTCTTACGAAAAGAGTTCATTGCCTCATTAAGAAATTTATTCTGAGTTATGAGTCCTTCAGCTGTTTTGATAAGTGCTTAAATGTTGCACATTTCAGCACCTAAGTTAGGGTATTTCAGTCTTTGCATCTATCTTAATTTCATATTTTAGTCCTAATTTATGTTTATGTGTATTTCAGGGCAATAAAGTTAAAATGAGCTAAGAACGGTCCATTAAAGCCTTTTTAGAGTCAAGCAAAGATATTCAGAAAAAGTTCAGAAAATGACAAAAAGAGGTCATAGCCCATTGCTCGTATAGTGTGTTTATTCTTCGAAAGCGGTCAATCTCGGGCCTTTGATGATGTTCCCAAAGATAAAGAAGCAAACCAATTAGCCCGGAGCCAAAATGGAGCTAAATAAGGCTTAAAGGAAATTTCCAACTCTAGGGGGATCGATCCCCCAGGACTTGGCAACATTATAGATTTTTTTTATTGTTTGGGCTTATTTTGTGAACTATTAGGCTTTAATAGGGTTGTTACTTAAGGCCCAGTGAGCCATTAGATTAAGGTTAGTATTTATTTTATTTAGGTGAATATTATTATTATTATTAAGTTTTATATTCTGTATCGTATATTTTTTTCTCTCTAGAAAAACACTGGAAAGAGGAGAAAAAGCAAGAACAGGCTAGGGTTTTGAGAAGAAGCTCAGAGATGATGAATCCAATGATGGACATTGTTCTGTCTTCAACTCCATCAACCATGAGTGGCTAATTCTCCTACTTAGGGTTGGATAAACCCTAAGCATGTAACCTATTCTTTCTCTCTTTTCATACTTTTTGAGGATTTATTTATGTAATTGATGTATAGGCTTGAATAACATGATTTAATTCTTTCAATTGTTTATTTGTATTAATCTCATGTTATCTTATGTGTTATTGATGAATAAACAAGCTATACACTTGAATTCCTTGTAAATTGATTCTTGTGATGTCTATGCATGTGGTTAATTAGTTGTAATCGTGTTCAAATTAATGGAAAATTACTTCTATTTGATGGATGGCACTACATGTTTAGGTTAATTTATTGTCTAATTAGTTTTAAATTCATGTTTAATTAGTTTAATTTAAGATTAATTAATTTAATTGCAATTCAATTATTAGATAAGTAGACCATCCATACTTATGTTTGAATTTTATACTTTTTGTCATAATTGCATTAGCTTCTAGATTAATGTAAGCTAGAATTGTAACTTGAATTGATGGACCATTCTTTGGATTGGTGAATTGTACTACACTTAGTTTATTTGTCATTAGGTATGCAATTCAAGCTTGAAATTGATGCTTCATACTTTTCTTTGCAAGTATTAGCTACATTAGAATTACATTTAATTATTTCCCCAATTAGTTGAAAGTGAGTGAGTTAGGGAATGTGCTTAGTGGTGAATCCTACACCCTAAGTCTCTTTCCAATCTTTTATACTCTACTCTTTATTTGCATTATTAAGTTTAAAATTAGTCTAATCACAAACCAAACCTTTTTAGCAATCACATAAGCACTAAAGTAGAATTCAATTCTGAAAAACCTATAATTGTTTAGATCTCTTAGGACGATCCCTACTCACTTCATACTTCAGAGTATAAGTGTCTAGTGGTTTTATAAATTATAAAATATGATACCCACTTAACATTATTTCAAAACCTAAAGTGTTGTGCATTATTTTGTGCACACGCTCGGGTCACATCATAATTTTGGCGCCGTTGCCGGGGATCTAACGGTTTTAAAGAATTGAATTAGACAATAGTTCTTTGTTGATTGTCTACTTTTAAGTCATTTTAATTTTATTTTATTTTTTTATTTGATTTGTCAATTAGGTACTTGAAGCAAAATGAAGCAAACGCTGGACTTAGAAGCAATTAAAAAAATTTTGAAGTTGCTCAAGGATCATCTGTAAGTTCTCTTTAATTTTAGTACTTTAATTATATACCAATTTGCATGCTTTGGACAGTCCAATTGGAGACTTAAATTGAATTGTTTTATTTTTAAGTCCAAGCATACCTTCTTGTAGAAGGCATCGGCCCGTGTGGAGGCATTTATTTGTTTTAAGTGCATTGATATTATTGAGGAGTTTGGGAACATCATATGTAGAGGTTAAAATTTTGAAGTGTTGGTGTGTTGACTTATTCTAGTGCATGGATGGTCGTAGATCACTTAATCGTCCTCTTATTCCTATAAATCAAAATCTCGAAGTTTTCCTTAGGCGTTTAAGAGGTAGTGCTAGGAATAGTCATCCTAATCTTCTAAATTTTGATTTTCCATCACATTTAAAGGCAGACCCAATAGATCTAATTGAAGATCCCATTGTAGATCTTAGTCATGTGGATCATAACGGTGTGCACCACCCACCACAAGTTCATATTGTAGATCCTCAAGGTGTGCATCCACCCTTGGGAATGCCATAACCAGTTAATCATGCGGTGCAACAACCTAATCTAGGGATGTCAAGGCCAAATGTTGTTCCCCCAATTGGTGAGCAACAACAACAATATGATCAAATGGCATACCCTCAATAAGGTCAAATGGCATACAATCAGCAAGGTCAAATGCCATATCCTCCTCTCAATCCTCTCAATCCTCCAATGGTCCTTAGGGATCGTTATACTCCAAATCAATATAATGCACCCACTTGCATTCAATTGCCAAATTTTTTTTTCATCATTATGAGATTAAGGCTTCCACCATTAACATGTGCCCCCTTTTCTATGGGTTGAGCAATGAAGAGCCTTATAAACATTTAGATAAGTTCTTAGAAGTTTGTTCC